GAAGGTCTCTGTGAAAAGACACAATTGTGTAAAGAAGTGAAGAAGCAGCTCTGAGGATACTGGTAGATATTCCCATTAGGTGGAAAACCACTGGGAGATTTGAGCAGAGAGGTGACATGATTGACTTATGCTTTAACAGGCTCACTCTGGTTTTTGTGTTCAGGGTGGAATGTAGTAGGGCAATGTAGATGCAGGGAGATCAGTTAGGAAGCTATTGCAATAATCCAGGCAGGATGAGAAGTGGTTGCATTTGGATATATCATGAAGGAAGAGACTGCAAGGTTTGCTAAAGATTTGGCCGTGAAGAGAAAAAGAAGAGTGAAGGCTTATGTTAAAGTTTTGGCCTGAGATGGTAAAGACTGAGATGGTTTGGGGGCCAGGAAAAAGAACATGAGTCTGGTTTGGGTGAGTTTAAATGTGTATTAGATATACAAGTAGAGATTTCAAGTAGGTAGTTGGATATATAAGTATAGAGTTAGAGGTGAGGTTCTAGGCTAGAGTTATAAATTTGAGAATTAATTATCAGCATATAGTTTATATTATCTAAATCTATGAGACTAGATGGTATCACTAAGAGGATCACTTAGCAGGATCCAGCTAAGGAAATGAGAAGGAATGGCCTGTAAGGCAGGAGGAAAACCAGAAGAATGTGGAGGAAGCCAAGTGAAGAAAGCATTTCAATGAGGAAGGATTATTTCTGAATATCAGTTGTGGGTGGCTGTATCTACACTTGCAAATTTTCTATGGCAAGTGAAGATATCATATATATACACCGACTAGATTGAAGGCTGTTTAAAATCATACCTAGTTAGGAGAGCGTATTTGTGTATGGAACATCCAGTATTTCTTATTTCTTATTTTCCATACCTTTCCCCACCTCCATCATCACAAATGATCATTTCTAATTGCTTTTATGGTTGTTTTCTCATCTTAATGGAGACTTTATCAAGATCAGGTGATTACAAATGGAAATATTCTAATTCTCCGTCATGTGAGTTAATGAAGGAACAGACTGATTATGAATCATTTGCTAGACACTAATTTTTAAATTTTGAATTTATTTATTTTTAAATGTTGAATTTATGTTGGATTTTAGACATTTAATATTCTGGGAACTCATGGCACATTATAAAATGAAGCTGGACTGTGAATATATTCATCATAAGAACACACTGATCACATTTTCTTACTCAAACCACCTTCTATCTCCAGTCCTGCCTAAGAAATCTAGATTTCTCAATCCCTTAGGAAATAAAATGTTTTTATTTAAATCACCTTTCCTGATAACTGATCTAAGAGGAGAGAAGAAATAGATATAATTCATTGACAGCCTCAGGGTATAGACATCCAGTCTCCATTCCTTTTAACTTTTACTGAACATCAAACTGTCAGTTTAATAAGGCAACAAAGAAAAGTAAACAAAAATGGAAAGCAAAATAAATAGCAGTCTTTATCCCACTGGAAATAACCATAAATTTCAAAATATAATCTTGGCCATACTGCAAAAGGATTTTCTTGGTCTGTTTGCATAGCTGTATTTTATTCTATTCTTAACTAATCTGGATTTTTTATTTTTTGAGATTCTTATTGTACACCAATCTTTTCTATCCTAAATATCTTTTGCAATTCATTTCTCCAGCAAATTGTTCTGTATATGTCCCATGTGGCATCATCGTGCATACCAAAACTACAGGTTCTAATTTACAGTAAAAAACAAAGTAACATAACTCCTAGGGGCTGTGTTTTCCAGATGTACCTTAAAGATGTTCTGAGACAGAACACTAAATATAAGTGATAGGGGCTCATCTTGGCAGATATGAGTAGCTTGTAGCTTGCCTTGGCTTTACTGACTAATCTACATTAAGTTGCATATCCTGTGAATCCATGTGCACCTGTCTCCAATGCTCTGGTCTGTCTTACAGCCTTCTTTTGGCACTATCTAATGAAACTATAAAAAGAGAATGTTTCCTTTCCATTACAACAGCAACAAAAATTTCAAGAATGAAGCTACAAAAACATTATACTACATCACAGGTCCCTTCTTAATAGTAAGTCTAAATGTGGTTAGCACCAGACCATCACATCAGGTCAAAGAGCATAGAGTTTATGAGATCAAGCTTTCATTAGACTTTACATTTAAATGCTATTATTATCACAAAAATATTAACGTGATCAATAAGGTAAACACAATTTCTTAATGCCAGTTTGTTTTTTAATTGACATAATTGACATAAATTTCAGTAACATTTATATATACTTCTGTATAAACCATTCTTTTCTATTAGACTGTAAACCCGAAGATTAGAAATCAAGGTATCTTTAACTGATTTTTATATACTCTAGCACAGGACCATAATGGGAATGATATAGTCATTCTTTGACATTTACCAGAAATACTATCTCTTTACAAAACTGCCACCTGATACGAGCCCACTGTGATCATATTTTGAGGACAGAAGAAGAGAGAAAATGATAGAATATCTATGGTTACTATTCCCTTATGGATATTTAGATCCACTTCACATATAAGATTTTAAGGTTTTGTTTTTGTTTTTGTTTTTGTTTTTTAAACATATAAAGAGGAATGAGATATTACCATAGCAAGCACCAGCAGCTCTCACTACCCCTTCCATCATCCAGTTTTCCCCCCAGGTGAAAAAACATAGGCACACCTATCTGAAGCTGCCACATTCTACACTCTCAGAAGATTTTGCTAGGCTCCAAATGAAGAGCTCAGACTCAGACCTGCCAAAAATTGATTTCCAAATGGGTGGAACTCTTAATGGCCCCACTTGTTTTTCACACCAGCATTCACAGAAAGTTCCTAAAAAGCCAGTGGTTGATCACTTGCCAAGGGGAGACACTTTCCAGTATTTATAAATTTTTAACTGAAATAATTTTAAATTTTCTAACAACTTGGTTCCATCACCCCTTCCCCCCCTCCGCCCTTTTTTTTTTTTCAGGTACAGAGCAGTTGCCTCCTGGAGTCGTGTTCAGGGAATCGGGATTCCCTTGATCACTGCCATTGAGATTGTCTCCATCTGGATCCTTTCTTTTATCCTGGCCATTCCTGAAGCAATCGGCTTCGTCATGGTACCCTTTGAATACAAGGGCGCACAGCATAAAACCTGTATGCTCAATGCCACGTCTAAGTTCATGGAGGTACGAAGAGTTTAAAGGGAATTAACCAAGACTTGTGGATATCTCTACAGTGCCTAGTGTGGTTTACTGGGCTAGTTATTTAAATACTCTTCAGCTGCATGAAAAATAAATGTTAAGCAATGGTTTACCTCCTTAAATAGAGAACTATTTTGTTTTCATTCTTGTACTGTAGCACAACTGTAGACACAACTGTTGTTCTGTACTGAATAAGTCAGAATTCTGAAAAAAAATTTACTAAGGGAGAGAGATAGATGTGTATGTATAAAGTACTATTTGTTTTTATAATAAGGTATACAGCACACCAATTTGCATCTGAAAGATATTCTGACATTTTATGTTACTCGGAGAAATGCATATTGCTCATATATTTTTTTAAAAGTTAGATTTACTAACTCAGAGTACGAAGTGATACTTACATGTAGTTATATTAGTACAGATTCTATGTCTAATATACAAATAATGCAAATTGCAGAATTGTTTAAAAAAGCATTCAGTTTAACAAATTCAGTGGGGTTGTTTAATACACCTGACCGCATTAATGTTTCTCTGAAAAGCTTAATTACATGACTGGGCATATTGGGAAACATGTTTAAAATGAATATTTCCTTTGCAAAACTGGTCAAATGTGGACCAAGGGGAAAAACAAAAAGGATAACTATTTCTCTTAAATCAGCATAATTTAGTGCTTTGATGTAAGCTCAGGTTCTACATTTAATCACTTACAGACATCTCGAGGTATGTTTTCCTAACTTAGGAAATTCACGAGATTTGTGGTTTTACAGTTGACCAGTTATCTTGCTTAGAAGTTCTAGTTTTAAAATTAAAAATCCTCATGAAAACTGCCAAACTGGCAACCTTAAATCTTAAAATTAAGGTCTTCTAATCCACTAACTTTTTTATTAAGTTAATTCTCCATGGGGCAGGGGGGAAGGTAGTCAATAGGATGTTATCATAATTTGGGCAGTATAAGTAAGCAATTTAAATATTTCTGACTAGAAAAGAAAAAAGTAAATATTTTTGCCTAAAACATTAGAGAGAAGAGACTTGCTAGAAGAAGGAGCTTGCTGATCATTAGAACTGGACAAAATGAAATGGGATATTTCACAATGACCAAGTCTCTTTCATAGACTGGTCCAGCTAAGGGTGGCCACGTAGTGGGCTGCAGTAATGGGTATGAGTTTGAACTGATAATCTTTTTATATTTAGCATTCTCTTTCTCCTCCTGTTCTTTTTTTCTAATTTTGTTCTCCCTCTTTGTTCCACTCGTTCCTTCTCAACTTTTCTCTGAGACTGGAGGGACGCCCCTCCATATCTTTGCCGATGACATCAGTTCAAAAGAAATGTGTGACCCTTTCTCCACAGGCCTCTGCCATGGAGGGGGCAGGGGACCCCATCTACTCCCCTCAGAGGTCAACTTCCAGACTCTCTGCAGCTGCTTTGGGGCATTCACACCAGCTAGCAATGCACCTGGAAGAAGGGAGTGCAAACTGTAGAGGGTGCTCAAAGGGGTGTTTGTGTTGCACTTAAAAGGAATGAGAGCCCTGATTTTTGTTTGTTTGTTTTTTAAGTTCGGTACTGAAATCTTTCTAAAGAGTGATGTGGATAGGGAAATATATGTGTAAACATCTGAATAAACCAACTCCTTTAGGAGTTTGAACTTAACCTAGGGATAAAATTCAGGGGTTTGTGAACTTGAATGGAAAAGAAATTACATGTTTATTTTTGCCAACTTCTAACTCAAATTTATCATTTCTTCCTATTATGAATGTAGGCAACAAAGCACAATAGTACCACGATTTTTCATTAATAGAAATATCAGACATTTTCATACCATATAACACTTGTATAATTTTGAAATATCATTTATGCTCATCATTGCTTCAATGTTCTGACATTAGATTTGTCATTTAATTTCTTAATAAACACCTATATTACTATAGCAGAATTTTCTTTTTAATATTTTGATACTATTTCTTCGTAACTGGTTTCTATTATAATCTTACATATTTTATTATACATGTAAAAGTATTATTCTCAGAAAGGATTATAGTCTTCATCAGTCTTTCAAAGGGGTCTATGGCATAAAAATAGTTAAGAAACTCTGCCCAGAACTTTTTTTTCCTCAGGAACCATTTATAGATTATTTTAATAGACATGCTCTAAATGTAGCCCACTGGGCCTCTTTCTATATTCAGAAACGGTACAGTTTTTCACAGAGCCGCATGATTAGTTTTTACTGTGGGAACTGAGATATCACAGGAGGCTGCATTATCCTTAGTAAATAAACAATCTGGAGAAACAGAATAAGGAAAAGAAAAGCATTTCTTCCCAAGTTGGTGATTTATTTAGTGGGAGAAAGAATTTAGATATAATTTTCCAATTTCCATTTTCATAGGGTATTAAATTTTCTCCCTTAATAATCCTGGTATCTGCAAATCCTGCCCACAAGGAGATAATGCTAAATATGCCTTGAGATAAGGTACACTGTCTCAATAGTTTCCAGGTGGTAAGTATTAAAAGAGAGCAAGAAGGGGCACAGTTATTGATGGCTCAAACTGGCTGGCTGCGAGGTCACATAGCAAGCATACCAGGCAAAGGGCTAACGCCCAGTAACCAAAGCTACACAGATAAGCCATTCATAACCTTTGCTCTTTCCAAACAAGATATTCACACTAAGTTCACTTTGATCATAATAGTCAAAAGTAAACCAGGCACTAGCAAAATGTTGAGGCTCGTCAATAAAGGTAAATATATATTCTGTATTTCTCATAATCATGTTTTGTAAGCTTTGGAAGAGAATTCTTTTTATTGTTTACGGCTCTTCAATTGTATAATTAAAATCAACTTCAGTTTATAAAAAAAATCTTTGTCAGGATAACTTTTTTAATGCAGTTTTGTCATGTGCTGTTATAAAGCCAGGACAATTTCTGAAGTTTCCAATTAAGTTTTGAGCACCACCCTCAAGCCCGTTACCACAATCAGAGAGTGTGAATATACAAACTTATCTGAAGGCATGAATATTTTGAGGCTCCCAGAGGCACTTTTTATGTCACAATGCCCCTCCTTCTTTCTCCTCCCCCCCTTTTTTTACTCTACAGTTCTACCAAGATGTAAAGGATTGGTGGCTCTTCGGGTTCTATTTCTGCATGCCTTTGGTGTGCACTGCAATCTTCTACACCCTCATGACTTGTGAGATGTTAAACAGAAGGAATGGCAGCTTGAGAATTGCCCTCAGTGAACATCTTAAACAGGTAAACCTAATAAGATTATGAAAATCTAGCCAAGACTATTTTTGTCCTAGATGAGAAAAAGCCTACAAATACTATATTTAGCAAATTTAGCCTGATTTCCTAAAAATAAAAATATTGTCACTTTTGTTTGTATGTCCTCTGTTCTTTATAGTATCAGGAATTTCTTTTGTGAAATAGGGAGCCTACCTATGTGAAATGGGTGGCCCTGGAAGCTGGGCCCAATAGAGAGGAACTATTCACTTATTTCGCCCAGAGTATATTAACCACATGTGTTTCTTTTTTTTTTTTCTTTCTTTCTTTCTTTCTCTCTTTCTCTCTCTCTCTCTCTCTCGCTCTCTCTCTCTCTCTCTCGCTCTCTCTCTCTCTCTCTCGCTCTCTCTCTCTCTCTCTCGCTCTCTCTCTCTCTCTCTCGCTCTCTCTCTCTCTCTCTCGCTCTCTCTCTCTCTCTCTCGCTCTCTCTCTCTCTCTCTCGCTCTCTCTCTCTCTCTCTCGCTCTCTCTCTCTCTCTCTCGCTCTCTCTCTCTCTCTCTCGCTCTCTCTCTCTCTCTCTCGCTCTCTCTCTCTCTCTCTCGCTCTCTCTCTCTCTCTCTCGCTCTCTCTCTCTCTCTCTCGCTCTCTCTCTCTCTCTCTGTGTGTGTGTGTGTGTGTGTGTGTGTTGAATTTAGCTTGGAATCGTGCCAGGACAAAAAGAAGTATATGACTTTCTCCCCTAGCAGGCTTTGCAGTCTTGTTGTGGAAACGTGAAACATTCAGAAAATAGAATCACAAGGTATGGCAAAAGTTGCCTATGCTATGGAAAGCCAAGGAGGATATGAGATAAAGGCATGGAAAACTGTTCATGGATGAAGGATATTGAACTGCTCACAGAGGATAAATGGATTTGATGGGAAAGAAAAGGACAGAGGGCATTTCAGGTGGGAGGACAGGAGTCTAGTTAGAACATGGCATGGGTGCTATATATTTTGGGACTGAAGAAGGAGATGACCTCATTAGAGCAACATCAACATCATCATAGGTAATATTCTTGATAGGAAATGAGGTTGGGTACATAAGAAGAGATCAAATTTTAGAGGGCCCAAAGTTCTAGAAGGAATTTGAACAAGTCGACAGGAGGCTTCTGTTGGTCCCTCTTGCGCAGCAAGCAGAACAGAGAAAGCTGTGGGCTTTAGAGAGCAAAACTTGGGTCTTATCCTTGCTGGCTCTGTGCCACGGGAAGGCAGCTATGCTCACCACTATATCACCAACACCAACTTCTCTGTGACACTGGGAAAATTGCTTAATCTCTCTGAGCTTCTAGTTCCTCATAAATTATATGGAATAATATATTAAGGGTATTACCTAATGCATATAAGGTGTCTAATAGCATCCAACTCATAGTAAGTACTCAGAAAATGTTGATATTAATTAAAAGAGTAAAACTAGGGCTGTGTGTAAGCTCTAAGTCTCAACAGAGAGGTATATAAGGATACCCAACCACACCAAAAGTTAATGTGAGTTGTTGATGGAAGCCTGTAAATCTGGCCTATGTAATTATCATACACAAGCATAATTCTTCATCAGCAACTCTTCTCAACTACTGTACTGATTTTTCTGAGCTTTTACTCCTTATCTGTAAACTAGGAATAACATATAAATCAATGTTATTATGGGAATCAAAGGAATTAAGGTGCATATACGTACTTTGCAAAATCTAGCACACCATACAAATGCTAACTATTATCTTCTACTGAAATTTAACAGGAAAATTATATTGAGAAGCTTTAATATGACTTTGTTCATGCATGAAAAATTTCAAGTATGTCACATGTGAATCATTTCAAGCAATTTTTACCTCTCATTCTTGCAATACAGGTAACTAATTAAAATAGATTTGTGAAAACAGTGTTTTAAATGTTGATTTTTGCATCAGCACTATAATCATAGAGCCTGTTTAAACTGTAAGTGGCATCTGCTCTAAAAATAATTAAATTGGGGTTGGGTGCAATAATATGATGAGGCTTCACATTTTTAAAAGTTTTTGAAGAGCATTTTTAAAAGTTTTTGAAGAGCATTTCCATGTCATTTTCTTATTTGATTATTCTAAACATGCTGTGAGAGAGACAGGACAGATATTATTCTTATTTACACAGGTTAGTTAAGAGATTGACTCAACCAAATGGAAATTAGAAGTCAAAACTTGGTCTTCATGCAACAGATGTTCCCTTGTATCACCCTCAAAGATATAGCAGGTTCCAAGAGCAGAAGAGCAAGCCTGGCCAGAAGGCCTGCAAGTGAGACTGTGGGGGAGCTAGTTCAGAGTGAAGGGCCCTGCCACCCTTTGACTAGGATCCTATTGGGTCTTGCCTCTTCCATGGCTTTTTGAATTTCTTTTCATTATACTGACAACAACTTCATTAGTTAGGGATTGTGTTTGGCTGCTGGTAGCAGAAAACCCAAAATTACATTGAGTACACCAAGGAAGGGTTTATCTTCCTCCCACAGCAAGAAATTCAGATGTCATTGGTCCAGTGGTAAAAGGACTCATAGGCACAGGCCTGCTGTTTTGCTGACCTTTCCTTCAGTATTGGAAGACAGCAGCTATAGACCTACCTTCATATCTGATTTCCAGGCAGCAAGAGGAAGAACACAGATCACATGGCTGTGTGCGCACCAAAGGAGTATCTCTCACTTTTAAGCAGCTTTACAAAAACGCCACACAACAATTTCTACTTAATCTAATTCATCAGAACTGCGTCAGGTGGTCAGGCAGATGATTAGGTCAGACTCCCTCACTGCTATAACAAAATCAAAGATCTGATTGATAATAAGAAAAAAAGGAGAATGGATATTGGGTAAGGAAATAGACTTTCAGGGTGACGTATCAATATTACCTTTTAAAAGGGTTATACTCTTTGAGGACATGCTCAGGGGAGATAATCTCTCCCTGATAGCCTCTTTTATTCTTCCAGGCACACTGTCTTTCTCTGTACATAAAATGACCCTTTAAAATGACCCTCCATTCCTGCAGATTGGAATTCTTTAATTTTCTCAATCATTGCTTGGTTTAAGTGTTCTCTGAAGCCATATCCCAGCTAGCCCAATAACTCCAAGATTAAAGAACTCCCAGTTCTTTGAGTAAATATAGCAATTTTTGACAACTGCCCCCAAATATTTTTAAATGACTCTATTAACTATATGGGTTTACTATAGGTTTCCCATATTTAATGGTATATGCTTTGGGTTGAACCAACATTACCTTTCCAAACTCTGTTTTCAACCAGTTTTATTTTGACATTAACTGATCCCAGTTACAGATGATTTGAATTTTATGTTCCTAGTTAGGCTCCTAAATGCATGCACTATAATACTCAAGCATCGTGCACACAAATGACTGGTTGCAGATAATTCTTAACCTATGGTTTCCCTGATCCTGTGCAGACTTGAAAGCATGAGAACCTTCAACTAAAGTCAGTATAGGATCAGCATGTCCACGTTTTTCTAATCATCATTGCTGATAATCCTTTATCCTCATCCCTCTGTTTGTAAACAATGTATCTTTGGGAACTACATGCCATTAATAAAAGAACTTTAAAAACAAAAATTCACAATGTTTTCTTCAAGATCAAGAAATGGAGAAAACATATTGCTGTTGATTTTTCTTTTCTATTTCCTACTCCTATTTTGTTTTCCAAAAGTCTTTGCAGATTTGTCCATTCTTTATCGTGGTGGGTTCAGTCACCTTGACGGCCATGCTTTCATTAAAGTTAACTGTTATTGAAGCTTTTAGCTAACACTTTCCCCCATACATTCACCCCTTCCCAGCCCCCGCCCCCCACACACACCCGGACTCAGTGACAGTGTTGACTCAACTCCACCTACTTCGCACCTCTGCCCTGCCATAGAATCTCTCATCTGGCCCTAATAACCAGCCTGACACCACCATCCTTTCTGGCAGCTGCCCAAAAGAACCATTAGCAACTCCTTGACCATAAAGTTGGACTCTGCATCTTGAAGAGGTAGAGGTGCTGTGAGGCTGGCTGTTTTGTCTCTTCTTTGAGCTATTCTTTCTCTGCTCTCTGCTACTTCCTTGTTGTGTAGTTCTTTCACCTAATAGAAAAACATTCAACTTATTGTACTTTTTTTTCCCTTACTTTAGCGTCGAGAAGTGGCAAAAACAGTTTTCTGCTTGGTTGTAATTTTTGCTCTTTGCTGGTTCCCTCTTCATTTAAGCCGTATTTTGAAGAAAACCGTGTATGATGAGATGGACAAGAACCGCTGTGAATTACTTAGGTACGATTGTATGTACCCATTAGGAAATAGGAGTTTGTCTGATTTTTACATTCATAATACTTTTGAAAACCATCTGGTCTACATTCTCTTTAGCCCTGAAATTTAAAACTGCAAAGTTGATTATTTTTTCTTTAGTTGACATAGATCCCAAAGTTTGTGTAAGCCATGTCTATAATCTTACTGATCCCCTCTTAAGGCCGTGCACAATGGTTTGAGCTAACCAAGTGGTAGGTAAATGTTCTATAGAACTAACTGCCATTTAAACAAGCACTTAACAAAATTCTGACTGCCACCTATAAGAAATGGGTTCTGGAGGGAAAATGCTTATTCAAGGGGTAAATGCTAGTTTTTCAGATTTAAAACCTTATGTTTTAATTAATCTATTTTCTTTTGCTCTAGTTTCTTACTGCTCATGGATTACATCGGTATTAACTTGGCAACTATGAATTCATGTATAAACCCAATAGCTCTATATTTTGTGAGCAAGAAATTTAAAAATTGTTTCCAGGTAAGACTGTTTTGCAAGTATTTTTAAAGACAACCAAATAAGTATATTAAGTAGCCAACAGACATGACTAATTCCATTTGACAAATATTGCTTTCATCAGCTGTACTGTTCAGTAGAGAAGTGAAAATCATATTTTGTTACCCAGAAAGAGGGTCAAATTGTCAGCATAACAGAAAAACAATATATTCAGACAACATATTCAGACAACATATTAGTTCATGGTACATACTAGAGGTTAAAATTAAAAATAACTAACTTAATAACATACCGATTTAGTACCCTCTTTTAAAAAGAAATACTCAAATGTGAGCTCCAGGATGCATACATAAAATGTATTCCTGCCTTACATCATTACATTGTCTTAGACTTCATCAACAGTCTCAACAAAACATAAACTCTATTGTTAAGAAAGCACTTGCTTAATGCTACTTAATAATATATATTTAATAATAACTTCTTCAAGGAAAGTAAATGCATATTGCTCTGGAAATCTGAACTAATGTAATTGCATTCAAAATCAGTTTTCTTCTGTTCTTCAAACCCCCTTGTAGCTAAGCCAACTCATGTCCCCCAGAAGCTCCAAACGCTTTATAATGATGTGTTGTTTTTCCAGTTCCTGGAATAATTTTAGCACAGAGTTAATCCTAACTGGATTCTGGTATCTCTGGTTAGGATGTTTAACTTTAGTTCATGGTACATACTAGAAAGAGTAGCATAGAGGTCAAGGGTGCAGTCTCTGGAAGCAAACAATCTTGATTTACATCACAGCTCTGCACTTACTGACAAACCCAGGTCTGGGAGGTGCCCCTCTTGCTTCCTTAGTTTGCTTGCTCCTAGTAAAATTGGACTATCACAGTATCTATCTCATAAGTAGTATTCAGTAGGTTAATATATGTTAAGTGCTTGAAATAATAAGTGCTCAGGATGAGTTTATTGTTATTCGAGATAAGTATGGAGACACAAAACACAGTGACTGCCCTAGAGGAACTTACAATCTAAAAGGAAATAAATATATTAACCAAGAATCAAACAAATAGATGAAACTTGGTAGTTTCATCTAACTTGGTAGGAAAATAGCACCTAATACTTAGGGCTGCTGTGAGCATCAGATGAGGTGCCCAACACAGAGAGCCACACAGGTGGTGCACACTGAAGAAATGCCAGGCCCCTCCTAGCCCTTCTCCCCTCATGCCCACTCCACATCATACAGCACTCTCCTCTCTGACCAAAACTTCTTCCCTTCCTCTCTGAGTTGATGAACAGAATTAAAACGAGAAAGTAGGGATCTATTTCTCTTTACTAGAATGGACAGTTTAACTTCCACCTAGAGATTACAGACTCCATGCCCTAGATTACTGATAAGGCTTGCATTCTGTCTTCAAATGTTGGTGGGGGCCCAAGGCCTACGTGTTCTGCTGAGAATAGGCTAATAGGCTCATGTCATTTAGCATCTGTTCCTTTCCCCAGTCTTGTCTCTGCTGCTGCTGTTACCAGTCCAAAAGTCTGATGACCTCAGTCCCCATGAATGGAACAAGCATCCAATGGAAGAACCATGAACAAAACAACCACAACACAGAGAGGAGCAGCCACAAAGACAGTATAAACTAAACATCTTACGAAACATTAGTCGATATTCCTTCAACTTGTATTGGAGAAAAAAAAAATCACACAGCAGCTATGTCTCCAGAAAGCTCTTCTCCATTGACTCAGTCCCAGCCCCAGAAAATGATTTCCAAAACATCATAGTGGACTAGTTTATACCCACATATTCAATGAATCTTACTTCTTAATTTATCTAATTTACATTTTCCGCATATTAGATTCAGGACTAAAATATGGTGGGAGTTGGCAAGGGGAAAAGAGACTATTAAATGAAACCAGAAAGATATATAGTGCTTTTACGTGAAAATAATTTTCAAGTACATGACTAGCTTTCATGGCAGTTCTGTCAAATGTTCAATGAGAACCGGTCACTATGAAAGTTTAGAGATTATAAAGGTTTTCTATTTTTTAAGTGATTTTTTTTTTTTTTTTACCAAACACAATATGGGTTTGTCACCAACATTTTTTAACCACATGGTAGCCTAAAAATGCTTGTTTGAGCTTAAACATATTTTACCAAAAAAAAGGAGGTAAAACAGAATTCGGTTGAAAAATTAGGTTAATGTTTCTCATGTCATTGTTTTATTTTTAAAACATAAATTCTCAAGCTGCAACAAATACAGGCACTTAAAACACACTGATAACCACATACGCAGTTTAATAGCTGCTATTCAAACATTTTTAAGAACCTATATTTTTTTAATGGTGTTTCATTACAGGAGATCCTGAAAATTTTATGTTAAATTTAAAAATAATGCTTGAATCAAATCGTTATATTTTTAATAAGCCCGATCTTTTTTTAGAATGTCCTTTATGTAAAATCAGTATCATATACAAAAATTTAAATGCCCATGCCATTTAACTATATCTAAGATGTTCAGTGCAATGCATAGAAGTCTAAAGCACATCTAGGAGGGAAGGATTGAATATCTTTAGAAGATTTGGAAATTTTCATTGAGTTTTTTTTTAGTAATGGTAGCATGCATGTGTATATATATGCAGATATATACATATATTCACATATATGTACATTATACATTATGTATATATGTGTGTGTGTGTGTGTGTGTGTATGTGTGTATATACATTATACATATCACCTCATATTCTTTTGATTTCTCTTAAAATATTATCTGGTAGTAAGACTCTTTTGGTCCTTCTGTTTTCCATACAGGAAACATAATTTCAAAGTGGCCAGCTGAGTTTATCATGTCAGTGAAATACAATTACCCCCAAATGCCACGTGAACTATGGCTTTCCACTTTTCTGGGTTTCCAGTATTAACTTAAATACCCACCCCACTCCCAATACTCACATGGTCACCATTTCAAAGGGCTCACAGTGACTTTCGCTGGGCATTTCCCAAGTTTACAGACTGTGAGTATAGCAGAAAATCTTTTACTGTGTGTATATAAATATATATAAGCAACTGTACATTTCTTTTAGCCGATTTTTCTGTGATTGTCTCTATGGAATGTATCTGTGTATGTGCTACATGCATGTGTGTGATGGTATGTATGGACGTGCAATCTAATAATAATGCCCTGTAGCTGTGCCAGAGCACACATTCTGAGTGGAATCTAGTTGGTGTTCATCTTGACAACAAGCCCCAATCAGTTTTAATCTATCTGTGTTCATAAATCTTATGACCATATCAGCATTACAAATGGAATATCAGAGGCAGCACAAAAGGGGATGAGCCATTGATTAACAATAGGGTTTTGGTTGGTTGGTTTGTTGGTTGGTTGGTTGGATGGATGGTTGGTTGGTTGGTTGGTTGGTTGGTTTGATAAAGCAGTATTTGGGGTTGTATTATTTTCTGTACTAGAGCAAAAGGCATTAAACTTTGAAGTATTATATTGTTCCAATCCTCAACTCAGCGTGGTGACTAGATTGACAAGTAGTTTGATGTTCCTGTAAGATTCCACCAGATAGATTACTGATGATAAATTACCTAATGATTTGTTGGGCTATATTTCAGCACAGTCATATGTGAATGATATCAGTTTCCAGTGATCCAATTGCAGGGCTCTTTTGTGTGTTAGCAGTCAAATTCCATTACTCCACTGGTACATTGCATGCAGTGATATATGCCTATAATATAAGCCATAGGTTCACATCATTTTGTTTAGCCAATTGTCTTTTTTTAAAAAAATATGCTTTGCCTCTTGCATATGAATAATGCATTTTGTAAGTTCAGAAAGTCATAGATTTCTGAATAACCACAAAGGCTTCAATGTATATTTTGTTTATGGACCAGTAAGTAACTGTGGTTTACTAGTGGGAAGATTTCTAGCTTCTACTTTTATCACATCTTTCCAAGTAAATCTGTAGAAATGAGCCAGAAGCCACGGTCCTGCATTGGCAGTGGGCCATAAGTATAAAATAAAAGTTTACAGAAGCCTTGTGAATGTCTCTTCATTTTTTTTACATAGTTCTTCAAAGAAAATGTTTATTACACAATGTCTGTCGCAAATCTCTCTGGTAATAGCCAGGCTAGCAATTTTACTTTCAAACAGATAATTCCTAACTGTGCTTTATTCTCAACCTATATTATTGTGCTGAAACATAACTCCCTCATTCATTCCTTCATTCACCTTTCCAATAAATTTTACTATGCCCCAGGAATTCTTCTAGATACTGGGGATAGAGCAGTGAACAAAAACAGGCAAAGTTCCTGCTCCAATGGAGCTGGAATTCTAGGGGAAGGAGTTGGGCAATGAACAATTACAGTCCATAAACTATATGTCATGTGGATACCTGGAGGAAGAGACTCATTCATATATATCTTTGTCAAATATATATTTTCTAATCCCAGTAAATGGCAATATCCATCCAATTCTTCAGAACAAAAACCTGGAAGTCATGTTTGATTCTCCCTTTCCCATATTGTTTCACTGCCAATCTGTAGCTGTCTATGCCTGAATCTACTCCTCTATCCCTCTAAATTAGCATGGAGGGCTAACATCTCCAATTGGAGGGCTAACAGACTTACTATATCTGAAACTAAGCTCCTAATATCCCTCTAACCTATACCATCATAATATCCCCCTGCTCATGTATTAGTCAGAGTTTTCCAGAGAAACAGCCAACAGAACATATAAGATGTATATACATATATATGTATATATGTATAAGGGAATTATGAGAATTAGCTCATGTGATTATAAAGGCTGAGATATGTTATAATCTGCCGTCTGCAAGCTGGAGAACAAGAAAGCCAGTGATATAATTGAGTCGAAGTCCAAAGGCCTGAAAACTAAGGAAGCCAGTAGTGTAACTCCCAGTTGCCGGCCAAAAGCCTGAGAACTGTGGAGCACTCCACTTGCTGTTTTAAGTCCCAGAGTCCAAAGGCCGGAGACCAGGGTAGCCAATGTCCAAGGGCAAGAAAAAATGGATGCCCTAGCTCAAGAAGAGATAGAATTTGCCCTCCCTCTGCTATTTTTTCTCTTCAGGCCCTCTACAGATGGTTGATATCAGCCAGCATTGGTGAGAACTGAGGAGCTTTATTCAGTTTTCTGATTCAAATGCTAATCTCTTTAGGAAACACCCTCACAGGCACACCCAGAAATAATGTCTTACCTGCTCTCTGGGCATCCTTTAGCCCTCTCAAGTTGACACATAAAATTAACCATCACAGCTCAGTTAAAGACAGCTCCATCCTTTGAGTTGTCAGGAGGAAATCTCTGAAGTCATTTCCCATTCCTTTCTCTCATACCTTATCCCCTATCTGCCAAACAGATCCGGAAGCTAAGCACTTCTCTCTACCTCTTCCATCCTCTTCTGAGCCACCAACATTTCTCGTCAGGATAACTGCAATAGGCTCCTACATGCCTACTTGTTTCCAGCCTGTAAAGATCATATACAAATGGGGCCAGTCTCTCAAACCCTGTAAATGGTCTGAAGGTGTTCACATTTCCAGCTAGGCTGACCGACATCCCTTGGGGATTTTTCTAGTAAGGATTAAAGTAAAAAAGAGCCATTTCCCACGGTGGCAAGCCCAGGAGGGTGCAAGCCTAGAAGCTGCAGGCCATTGCAATTTGGGTATTATGAAGAAAGTCGATCTATATTGTTACTAAGATGAAAAAGAGCATTTAAGTCTCTGGTTCCATTTTTCCCTGATGCTTTCCCTTGGCTTGAGTAAGCAAACCAACACGTTTACCTTTGTGCTTACACTAGTTAAATTTGGTTTCCTGTTGCTTACAATACACACATGCTAAGACCATCTCTTTTAAGTTATTTGATTTATCTTTGTTGTTGTTGTATAAATCAGTAGGCTTTACGTTTCTTAGAGTAGTTTTAATTTTACAGAAAAATTGATTAGAAAGTACAGAGTCCACACATGCTCTTTTCTCCTTCCCTGCACACAGTTCCCCTTTATATTTATCTACTGTATTAGTGTAGTTTATTTGACAAAACAATATTGATACAATATTATTAACTGACGTCCATAATTTATACTAGGATTCAGGCTTCGTGTTGTACATTCTATGGGTTTTGACAAAGATATAGTAGCATTTACCCACTATTATGTATCATTCAGAAAATTTCACTGCCCTAAAAATCCCCTGTGCTCTACCTTTTCTTCCCTCCCTCCCTCTCCCTTTGGATTCTTCTTTTCACTCAATGCAGATATAGTGAACACCCACCATATCAAACTGTTTTAGTTGCTGGGAACACAAAACCAGGTGTATAACTAAATAAATGCAAGAAAGTGCTTAGTGGTGGCTCAGTAGATGTCAGCATAGGGGACAGTAAAGGCAAGAGTAGTCAAAATTCTTTCAACTTCAGATGAAAATGACATCAGTGGACACAGTATGAGGGCTCTCGCTTTACCACTCTTATTGTAGTGAGCATAACTATGTCACTGCTAGGAGAATGGCATGATAACAAGTAACATAGTATTGTCTCTACAGTATAAGATTTTTAAGTCAGTAAACACATGTTATTCTTCGTCCAAAAATAAACCTATCCAGTACATTTGAAATGACAGCAATAAAACAAATTGGAGTTTAAGTCCAAGAAATAGCCAAGGCAAATGTGAGTCTTTCACTAGTCTGTTACCTCTATTGTTATTTCTAATAGTATTATTAGTCCATGCTAGATTATTAAACATGATATATGTGTGGAGTGACGGACATGCACTGCCAGTCTTTTCAAGCCTCTTCGGGCCTGAAACTCTACAATTCCTTTATTTGTAATATAATCTAGCACAGCACTATAGTTATTGATTTTTCTCCATACTTCAAACAAGGAAAGTTAAATCAGGGCACAAGTCCACCATATTCAGTTGATTATTTCTGAAATTCCAGTGGTGTCTTCACATTTAAAAACCCCGGTGTTTTTTAAATAA